CACACACACACACACACACACACACACACACACACACACACACACACGCTTTTCCCTGCCCCTGCCTGCTGGAGAGCTCTACCTTTTTGTAGCATGTCTCTCAGGACCCAGAGCCCCTGCACTCTCAAAAGTACACATTTGTGTGTTCACTTTGGCAGCACATATACCAAAATTGGACTGATACAGAGTAGATTAGCATGGCCCTTGTCCAGAGTTTTTAGCTCAATTTTTGAAGTTCTGGGGATTGAACTGAGGATTTTGCACGTGGTGCCAGTCATGAGTCACACCCCAGCCCCTCACTGAAAGACTCCAGGGCTCCAACACCAGGTCATGTCCCAGGCACCGCAAGCTCTAGCTTGAATTCTAGCATGGCTTCTGCCTAGTTGGTGAGGGGAGGCATCAAGCTGTGCTGGGATGCACTCTTGCCCTCTGAGGAGTACAGTGGTCCTTGTTACACTGTAGCTGGGTGGGGCCATTCGGTTTGTTCCAGGATATCTTGTGATTCACCCGCTCCTCCTCCTACACCAGGAAACCACGGGGAGAGTGCAGTTTTATTTTGTTTTTTCCTGGAATGATCAGGGAAGGTGTCACCAAAATGATATTTGAAAGGATGCCTTGCAAAGCAAATATTTACGTGGGTGTGGTGACCCCGGAACTAGGGAGGCTGAGAGGAGGATTGGAAGTTCAATGCCAGCCTGGGCTACATGGTGAGATGAAGGACATCTTGGGCAATTTAGTATGAGATCCTGTCTCAAAAACTTAAAAATAAGCATGGTGGCATTCTCAGCACTTGGGAGGTAGAAGCAGGAAGATCTCTGTGAGTTCAAGGCCAGCCTGGTCTACAGAGTGAGTCCAGGACAGCCAAGGCTACACAGGAAAACCCTGTCTCAGGGAAAAACATAAAACAAACAAACAAACAAAAGCCCCCAAACAACAAAACCTTAAAAAGAAAATGCTTGAGAAGATGGTACATGCATGTAACCCCAGCACTTGAGAGACGGAGGCAGCAGGACCAGGAATTCAAGGTCATCTTTGAGCACATAACACCCTGAAGCCAGCTTGGGCTACCCGAAACCATGTCTCAAACAAAGCAATAAGCAAGCAAACAAATCAAAGAAGAGAAGGAGCCAGGCGAGGTGGCGCAGGCCTTTAATCCCAGGACTTAGGGAGGCAGAGGCAGGCAGTTCTCTGAGTTTGAGTCCAGGACAGCCAAGGCTACACAGAGAAATTCTGTCTCAAAAGAACCAAAAGGGGGGGGGGGGAGGGCAGTGAGATGGCTCACTGGATGAAAGGGCTTGTTATGCAAGCCCGTGGCCTTGAGTTGATCCCTGGAACCCGCGTAAGGATGGAAGGAGGGAATCAACTCCACAAAGTCACCCTCTGATCTGCACAAGGTGAACTGTGGCCCTGGGGCACCTCCCTCACAGGAACAATAGTAATACATAAAATCGACTTCAAAGAGGGGGCTGGGGTGAAGATGGTTTACTGAATAGTGAAAGGATAGGGCCTTGATTTCAACCACTAGCATTGTGGAGAAAGAGAAAAAGAGAGAGAGAGAGAGAGAGAGAGAGAGAGAGAGAGAGGAATATATATATATTGTAACTATCAGAAACACACCTGATGTTTCTGGTAAAAAAAAAAAATACTAAACAAAAATAAAACCCCAAGGTTCAACAATGTTTTGTCAACATATTTTATCAAGCTGGGAAAGGAAAACCATCTCCATCATGGCTAAGGTGGGTCACATAGCTTTGAAGTCTGACATGTCCCTCTTAACTCCTCCTGTGTCCCATGGGCACCCTCAACTGAATCATCAGCCTGTGAGCCAAGGAGTGGCCACAGAGCGGAGCCACAGTGCCATGGTGCCTGCACTGTGCTCCCTACCAAAGATGGAGGTCTGGGTGTTGTGAGCAGAGCACTCTTGGAATCTGTCCTTCACAGCTGGTCTAGTGCCCAAGAAATAAAAGGTGGAAAGGAAGGGTTTAAAGTGCTGTATGTATGGTGTGTGGTGTGTTGGAGGGTGTTGGAGTGAGTGAAGACAAGCATGATGGTGAGAGGTCTTCCTGGAGGAGTTCTCCATTCTTCTCCCTTTTCTTTCTCATTTTTAAAATTACATTTTGTGTGTGTTGGGTGTGTGTGTGTGTGTGTGTGTGTGAGTGTGTGTGTGTGCTTTTACCATGGTGCAAGTGTGGAGGCCAAAGGTCAGCTTCGGGGAATTTGTATTTTCCCTTCCATCCCGTGGGGACTGGGGATTGAACTCCGCTTGTTAGACTTGTCGGAGAGTGCCTTTACCAGCTGAGCCACCTTACCAACTTCTCTGTTTCCTTTATTGTATTCTTCTGTAGCTCAAGCTGGCACAGTAGCCAGGGTTAACCTTGAAATTCTGGTCGTCCTGTCTTCACTTCCCCAGTGCTGGGATTACGGGTGTCCACCACCGTGGACAGCTCCTGAAGTGCCAGGGACTGAACCCAGGGCTCCACTCACGATAGCTCCCTACAAGCGGAGCTACATCCCTGCCAGATTTGATTTTCTTTTCTCGTGCTTATTTGACCTTGGCCCAGGGTCTGACCTTGGACATGGGATCTTCCTTCTTCACTGGAGTTACAGGTATGTGCCATCATTCTGCCTCTTCCTCTAGAGAATGGGGCTCATTGTAAACACTTCCTCTCAACGAGGTTAAGAACAATGAAGAAACGGACACATGTACAATTTCTGTCCCAGCTAGCTTTGACACCTATAGTTCCAGCACTTGGAAGGCTGAGGCAGTAAGACCATGAGTTCAAGTCTAGCCTGTGCTATGTAGTGAATTTCAGGACAGCCTGTACTACAGAATGGTAAGACCTTGCCAGCCTCTGTCTCCAAACAAAGAAACATGCGTACATTGCTGGGAATGCAGCTCAGAACCGTGTATAAAGTCCTGGCTTTGATGCCCAGGACTGCATAAATGGATTGCGGTCGGTGTCTGTCACAAACCTGTAATTCCATCACTCAGGAGGATCAGGTGTTCAATGCCCTCTTCAGCTACCTAGGGAGTTTGGGGTCACCCTGGGCTACATGATATTCCCTCTTAAGGAGAACAAGAAGAGGAGGAAGAGGTTGGGGGGGGAACCCCACAGTGAGCCAAAAGAGCTAGAAGCCAGGAGGAGCTGGTGTCTCCTGGCGGTGAGAGGGTTACAGCAGCTTCCTCCCAGCCTCCTTGGAGTCTCTGGGGAAGAGCCAGAGCTGCTGTGCGTTACCCAACACTCCAGAAAATGCTGGCACAGCTGGGAGGAAAAGAGCCTATATGGCTTCCTTTCAATTATTCAGTGGCTGGGCTTCCCCCCCCCCCCCCCCCCCGGCTGGAGCCAGAGGAAAAGCTTGGCGGGAGCTTTTTGTACTAGGGTTACCCGGGCTGGAGTCGAGGTGGGAGCCTGAGGGAGAGAGAGGCAGGTTGGCTGGCTTGTGCAGTGCTGGTACCTCAGTGCCGTGCCTTGGCAGCCGCACAGTCCCTTCTCCTGCCTCTCCTGTTCAGTCCAGAGGTCTCTGTCCAATCACCTGGGCCCTGGCCAGTGCTTGGCTTGGCCCTTCTCTGCTCCCTCAGTCTACGCTGTTGAGCAGGTGGGAGATGCTGACCCGCAGCAGGCAGGCAGCAAATGTGGACTTGTGTAGCCCAAGAGAAAAGCCTAGGCTGTTCTGAGAGAGTATGGCTTTGGACAAGCTGTCCAGGCTCAGGCTAGCTTCCATCTCTCCTGCTGTACTCTGCTCTACTCAGCACACGCTGAGCGCTACTGTCCCTCCTGTCTAGAATGCCTTGCCCCTCCATTCATTCGGCTGGATGGGAGAAGAGCCACCTCTTCTGTGTATAAGGTCCAGAGACCTTATACAGTGAGTCCTCCTGGGGCATGTGCCTCTGGGGCCACCGTACCACTTCTGCTCTTGTTCTCTCTGTTCTGCCTCTGGCTGAATGACACAGCTAGTTATTGTCTTATGTAGCCTGGGCTGGCCTTGAACTGCTTTTGTAGCCAAGGGTGACCTTGAACTCCTTATTCTTCAGCTTTCACCTCCTGGAGTGCTGGGATTACACGCATTAATCAACAAGCCCAGCATCTGCTCTACCCAAGGTCAAACGCAGGGGTTTGTGCACTCACCCAGTCAAGCTATAGTCCCAGCCATGTTTTTGAGATCGTGTCTCACCGTGTAGCGCTGGCTGTCCTGGAACTCACTGTGCAGAGCAGGCTAGCCTCAAACCCGCAGACTTCCACCAGCCTCAGCCTCACAGTGCTAGCATTAGAGGCGTGTGCCGCCTTGCCTGATTTCCCATGCTGCGCTTGACTCGTGGTTCTGTGTCTCAGCCTCTTGTGTGCTGGCTTACAGACACGTGCCACAGCGCCAGCTTGGCTGAGGTCTCTAAGGACAGAGGCTGAGTTAGGCTAGCTTCCTGGCCTCAGCGTCTGGTATGAGCCTTCACCCTGGGCAGGTATCGGAGGAGGAAGCAGGAGGATCAATAGTTTGAGGTCACCCTTGGCCACCCTTGTCTGTGCTGCATGAGACCTTATGTCAAAATAAGCAACAAAGGCCAAATTCAGCCTGGGGCAGGCAAATGGCTCAGAGGGTAAGGCTGCCTGCCACCAAGCCTGAGTTTAGACCCTGGGAGGAGAGAACTGACCCCCACGAGTTGTCCTCTGACCTCCACGTGTTTGTGGCACTAACTAAGTAAACAAACACACCAACAAATAAATAAACGTAGTAGAATCTAGCCTGTGTTTATAATGGTGGGGAGCTCACTTCCTCTGTTTCACCACCATCATCTTCAGAGACTTCAGGGGAAGCTGTCCTTGGCCCTTGCTCTCAATGTCCAGTCTGTGCCCTTTTGTCACTTACACAAACTACATAGTCACCTCTTCCAGCCCAGTCTCTGAATGAGATAGAAAGGACTCTAGCCAGGCCCTTCCTTCCCCTATTCTAGGATTTCCAACTTGAATTTCCATACCAGAAGTCTGGGAGGCAGGTTTCCAGAGCCAAGGGGGCCTCTTATGTGCGCTTGTTAAGGAGGAGCCTCAGTCTGGGTCTAACAGGCCAGGTGACGCGGGTGCAGCCCACTGAGGTCCAGAGCTGGCTCTACAGAGCTCAGTATGGGGTAGACCCCATGAAGCCAGGAGCTGAGACGAGCAACGTCAGCTAAGGGCGGCAGCACCCAGAACTCCAGGCTCTCAGGTAGACCAGAACAGCAATACTGGCTCTCAAACACCGTGCTGACCAGCCCAAAATCT